GAACATTACTGTGTGAAAATTGGCCACCATGTTTGTCCACAAATAGACAGGGACTTCACTTCACAGTAGATCCTATGTCGTCCTCGCAATGTGAAAGGTGCTATACCATATGTAAGGATTATTATTATTTAGCCTCCTCACCTCTAAGGTTAGTGAGGAATTCTGCATTCACTTCATTTGCTCATTTTCCTTACTCAAACTCACTATTAAAATCATAAAAAGATGGAAATGCACAGCAAGTTGATCAGCATGTAAAAGAGAAAACAAGTTTTACAGTTTTTTTTGTGTCTCTTTATCATAGCTTTATTTGTACTTTTTGCACTACAGTTTGCACAATTGGCTATTTTTACGTTTTATTTCACAAATCTATAACTAATGAATTAAATGCTATAGATCTTTAACATCCTTCTGAACAGGCAGGTTTGGTTATAATAATAATGCTTGCATTTGATATAACGCCTTATCACGTCTTCCAGACATCTCAAAGCGCTTCACAGAATATACTGTAAAGTGAATTGACTGTATATTTTGTGGGCGAAATGCGGCAGCAAATTGTGCACAGCAATGACATTTTTTAAAAAAGAGATTATTACGCCCGGAAAGCGATATCCCAGCATCATTTTGTTTGGTCAGCCACATGTCTGTCACACGTGGAAAACCATCACCATGCTTAAGAGTATCCAAACCAAGCTGAAAATTCCATGCATCCCACCTCTACATGGAAATCCCAGAGATAGGTTCTTGTGAGGGACCTTGACAAATACAGGTGCCCACTGTGAAGTCGAGTCCATCTCCAGAGTGCTTAGCGACAGGTCATTACCAGAGTGCCCTTCACCCTCTTCTCATCTCTTCTCAGTCCTTCAGGACAGTGTCCAGGTTGAAGCTGGCATCCACCATGAGTCCATCTGATGGATGATACAACTATCAAAAGGCTAAGATCATGAGAAATTTCTGGGCCCAGGCATCTCCTTACTTTGGGGTAGCTGTACCTGACTGAGTGAGGTGTTACATCGTGTAATACGGCATAAAAATAAGTTATTACTAGGGTGAGCATGCGTCCCTGATTTCTGACGACAGTAGGATGAGGAATTTTGTCCCTGGGGCCAAATTTATCATGTCTTGAGTTCAATAACAAACGGAGGAAGAAGGATAAAATTCTAAAACAGATACACTCCTCAGAGATTTTTTTGGCAGCGTACATTTTAAATGGTAGCAGACATGTAGTAATGAGATGGGTGATGGAGAGTCACAGCACAATGCTCCTGCACTCTGCTTGTGCATCACATTTGCATCAAAATCCACTGAGCATTAAAAACAGTCTGCTAACAATGACCGATCAGCCATTAATCCAACAAGCTTCTCCAGTGCTGCCAGTATCAGGAACTATAGTGAGTTCAATTTTTCTGTATACATGTCCCTGGATTTGGTTTACAAAATATGATCACCCTACTATTAAGCCCAACCAATCCACACCAGTATTTTTGCTCCACATAAGCTTCCACCCCTACTCTTCCCCTCTCCCATACCCCACGATTCCCTTCTCCCCCTTGTATGCATCAAGTTTTCTCTTAAATATGTTGATGCTATTTGCTGCAACCAAAGTTTCTGGCAGTGAGATCCATATTCTCACCACCCTCTACGTGAAGGAAATCCTCCTAAATTCCCTGATGGGACGTCCTTCCGACGTGAAAGGCACTCTATAAATGTAATTTTGTTTCTGTTTGTTGTGTTAGAGCTACCACTAATTGTCATATTTATGCCCTCTAATTTTGGCCTCACCAACAAGTGGAAACAATGAATCAACATCCACTTTATCGAATCCTTTCATCATTTTGAACAGCTCTATCAGATGTCCTCTCAATCATCTCAACTCTAGGGAGAAAAGCTGTAATCTATCCAATCAGTCTTGATAGCTTTAGGAGAGTATGTAGTGCCATCTGCTGGCTTGATAAGTATTATTTTTTGGACAGGAATCTCAAATATCATGAAGGCCTTTCAGCAAGTTTGGCTTTGTTTCCTGGTAAACCTTAGCATGTTGCAATTTCTTTCTATAGTTAAATTTGGAACACAAATTTACATTGTGAATGCGAAACCTTTTTCATAAACTGCACTAAGCGCTCCGAGACACTAGCCCATGTGAAGGGCACTATATAAATACAAGTTGTTGTTGTTGCATATTACAAGTGGTACTTTATACAGAGTTTTTCACCAAGTCCTAGGATAAGGTCTTAAGGCACTTTACAGATACAATGTGATTCACTGGGCAAGAAGGATATTGACCAATATCACCAACAAAGAGATAAGTGCTGTAGATTTTGTACTGTAATTTGGTAGCTTATTTGGTTCTTGATCAAGCCAATTTACTGGATACTCTAGGATGGACAGGTTTAATACACATTAATTCAACACGTTCTTGCCTTATCCCCCTTCGTTGTTTCATCCCATGATGAGACTGGATGCAGGACAGAGTGGATTGATTTTAAGATTGCTGTTGTGCACCACAGGCAAATGATTTGGCATGTTAGCCTAGACTATGTGATTTCAAAGCCCAACTTGGGATTTGAACCAGCAACTTTCTGACTCAAGAGGCAAAAGTGCTACCCCAGCACTACACTGACATCTAGCTGTACATGAGCAGATGCACAGTTTAATAAAAAAAACTTGCATTTGATATAGCACCGTACCATTTCATTGAGATGTCTTGAAGCGCTTCACAGAATATATTGTATTTTGTGGGCAAAACATAGAAGCCAATTGTGCACAGCAGGGACCTACAAATAGTCCTGGATTGAGTAACCAATTTTTTAAAAGTTTCTGAAAACTGTCCACACTGATGCACAATAACGGTTCATTCTTCTCAATCAGATGATGTCCGCTCTTGTGCCAAAGCTATATCTTGCAAAATCCAGTTCACCTCATAATTCTAATGGTAAGTGCCTGTTCAAGTGGACGTTAAAGATTCCGACACACTATTCAAAAAGAAAAGGCAGTGTCCTCAAGATAGAATTAGTCATTCATTTCATAGATGTTTGTGAGAAGTTGCTGCTGTCTTTGTCTACAATAGCCGCAACACTTTGCAGTAATTACTCTGAAGAGCTTTGAGATGTTTCCATTTAATAAGATGATATAAAAAGTTCTTTCTAGGTGGTCTAGACCTGCTCATATAGGAGTTTCCAAAGACTTGCACCTATAAGAGTTTGCATAGATCTACCAGCAGATCTAGATTAAGGTTTAGGGGCTCCCAGTGATATAATTCTATATCTGACTGCCTGTAGCATTCCCTCTATGTGTAAGATGTATGTTTTTGAACATGGAATCGGGCCTCAGTTTTTGGGGCCTAGGTTTTGGATGAAAAATAAAAGTTTGCTGTTCTTCAGTATCCTCTCCCGCACCAGGCTCCGCTAACCAATTACTCCCATCCTTGCCCGGCTTCATTGGCTGCCCATCTCTCAGAGAATCGAGTTCAAAACTCTTGTTCTCATCTTCAAAGCCATCCAGCGTCTTGCTCCCCCCTACCTATAATATAATAATAATCCTTGCATTTGATATAGCGCTTTTCATGTCTTCTAGATGTCTCAAAGCGCTTCACAGAATATGCTGTAAAGTGAATTGACTGTATATTTGTGGGTGAATATTGACTGTATAATTGTGGGCGAATCTCTGCGATTTCCTAACTCTATATCAGCCTGCCCACTCCTTCTGCTCAGCGGCCTGCTTCAGGTTCCCTGAACTTCCTGCCCCACTATTGCCGGTCGGGCATTCAGCATCTCTGCCCCCACTCTGGAACTCTATCCCGCAATCCTTCCGCCTCATCCCCTCACTTGCGTCCTTCGTCCTGTCTAAAGACCTTCGTCTTTGACCGTGCCTTCGGCCAACCTTCCACCCCCACCTCGAACCCCCCCACCCCCTCTGCCACCTCACCTGACCCCAACTCCCAGCTTGGGACCAAACCCCTTGATTGTCCAATGCCTGGGGCGTGAAGGGCACTGGAATAATAATAATCCTTGCATTTGCTACAGCTCTTTTCACGTCTTCTAGACGTCTCGAATCGCTTCACAGAATATACTGTAAAGTGAATTGACTGTATATTTGTGGATGAAATGCAGTAGCCAAATTGCGCACAGCAGTGTCCCACAGACAGTCGTGGATTGAAGTGACCAATTTATTATTTTTTTTGCTATACAGTGTAATTTGTTTTTGCACGGCCCAGCACTGTATCAGCCTCCATCTGGTTCTGCATTGGCTTCCTGACTCCGTCACTCAACCACAGACAGTATTGTTGACAGCGATATATGGTGTGTGAATATGGGCATCTCCACCAGAAAGAGAGAGACTCGTCTTGACAGCAGTCGTCCCAGATTGACAGCGGTCCTCCCAGACTGACACCCCAATCCTCCAGACAGACACCACTCCAGACAGACATACACACCTCCTCCTCCCCCCCCCCCCCCCCCAGACAGACACCACTCCTCCAGACAGACACCACTCCTCCAGACAGACACCACTCCCCCAGACAGACACCACTCCTCCAGACAGACACCACTCCCCCAGACAGACACCTCCTCCCAGACAGACACCTCCTCCCAGACAGACACCACTCCTCCAGACAGACACCACTCCCCCAGACAGACACCACTCCCCCAGACAGACACCACTCCTCCAGACAGACACCACTCCCCCAGACAGACACCTCCTCCCAGACAGCTACCATTCCCTCAAACACCACTCCTCCAGACAGACACCTCCTCCCAGACAGACACCTCCTCCCAGACAGACACCATTCCCTCAAACACCACTCCTCCAGACAGACACCACTTCTCCAGACACCACTTCTACAGACACCACTCCCCCCCCAGACAGACACCACCACCTCAGACACCACTCTACCAGAGAGACAGACAGACAGACAGACAGACCTACTGCAGTCGCTCCCCCAGTCAGTCCTCCAGTCAGCAGGGGTCGCTCTCGGGGTTGCGCGGTGTTGGTGCCGCTGGTTGTGGCAGTTGTCGGTGTGAGTGTCGGTGTCGGTGTGAGTGTCGGTGTGGGGGTCGGTGTCGGTGTGGGGGTCGGTGTGAGGGGACCGGGGAGATGCCGTTGGGTTACACGGCTGATGAGAAGCTGCGCACTGAGCAGTTGTCGGGGCTGCGGCGGCGATGGCTGAAGGACCAGGAGCTGAGCCCCCGGGAGCCGGTGCTGCCCCCACAGCGGGGCCCGATCAGCAGCTTCTGGGACGGTTTCCTGAAGCCCCGCAGCCTGTGGAGGGTCTACGTGAGTCCGTGTGTCTGTGTGTGTGTGTGTCCCCGGGAGGTCATGTGTGTTATTGTAAACCAAGCACTCTCAGTCCTGGCCATTGCAGGCGTTAGAGGTCATTACAGCCCATCAGAGGTCGTTACAGCCCATCAGGGGGGCGTTATAGCCCATCAGGGGGCGTTACAGCCCATCAGGGGGCGTTACAACAACAACAACAACAACAAGATTCCATTTATAAAGCGCCTTTCACGTCAGGAGGACGTCCCAAGGCGCTGCACAGTTGGGTCATGACCCGAGCATTGGGGGGAAATGGTGAGGGTGAGGGGAGGGAAGGGAGGGAGCGAGGAGGGGGGAAATGGTCAGGGTGAGGGGAGGGAAGGGAGGGAGCGAGGAGGGGGGAAATGGTCAGGGGGAGGGAAGGGAGGGAGCGAGGAGGGGGGAAATGGTCAGGGTGAGGGGAGGGAGGGAGCGAGGAGGGGGAAGAGAGTCGAGAGGGGAGCTGAAGGCACGGTCAAAGAGAAAGGTTTTGAGACCGGCCTTGAAGGAGGAAAGGGAGGAAGCGGCGAAGGCACTGGGGGATGGAGTTCCAGAGCCTCGGGGCTGAGAGGCTGAAGGCCCGACCACCGATGGTAGGGCGGTTGGGGCGGGGGATGTGGAGCAGACCGGAGCCAGAGGAACGGAGGGTACGGGCAGGTAGGTAGGGGGATAGTAGGTTGGAGAGGTAGGAGGGAGCGAGGCCGTGAATGGCCTTGTAGGTGAGGATGAGGATCTTGAAATCAATCCTCTGGGGGATGGGGAGCCAGTGGAGGCGAGCGAGGGTGGGAGTGATGTGGTCCCGAAGCCTGGTGCGGGACAGTACACGAGCTGCAGAGTTCTGAATGACCTGCAGCTTGTGGAGGGAGGTGGCGGGAAGGCCGGCGAGGAGAGAGTTCCCATAGTCCAGCCTTGAGGTGACAAAGGCGTGGACCAGAGTTTCAGCAGCGTGAGGGGTGAGGTAGTGCCGTAGTCTGGCGATGTTCCGGAGGTGATGGAAGGCGGTGCCAGTTGTGGTGCGGATGTGAGGGAGAAAGGACAGCTCAGGGTCGAACAAAACGCCGAGGTTCCTGACTGCTTTGAGAGGTGGAGAGTGCAGCCTTGGATGCTGATGGTGTCAGCGCCTGAGGTGCGGAGGCGCTGACGTGAGCCAATCAGGAGGGCCTCGGTTTTTCGCACGTTGAGCTGAAGAAAGTTGTCTCTCGTCCAGGACTCGATGTCGGACAGGCAGCTGTCAGGACATCGGTGGTCGTGGAGTTGAGAGTAGAGGAGGAAAGGTAGAGTTGGGTGTCATCCGCATACATGTGGAAGTTAACCCCATGTCTGCGGATGATGTCACCGAGGGGGAGCATATAGAGGGTGAAGAGGAGGGGACCGAGGACAGAGCCCTGAGGGACACCACATGAGACAGTGCGGGGGGTGGAGGAGAAGCCATTCGTCGAGACAAAGTGAAGACGGTGAGAAAGGTACGACCTAAACCATTCAAGGACAGTGCCTTGAAGGTTGAGGTGGGAGGACAAGCGGTGGAGGAGGATAGCGTGGTCGACCGTATCGAATGCGGCCCATCAAGGGGTGTTACAGCCCATCAAAAGGTGTTACAGCCAATCAGGGGGCATTACAATATGACAGGGCATTACAGCACACCAAGGGGCATTACCACATTACCATTACAGCACATCCAGGGGCATTACAGCACATCAGGGAGCATTACCATAAGACAAAGGGCATTACAGCTCACCGGGGGCTATTACAGCACATCAGGGGGCATTATAATAAGACAGAGGGCATTACAATAAGATAGAGGGTATTGCAGCCACTTTGCGGGCACTGTAATAGGTGAAAAGGAGAGGGATGGGTTTTTACCTTCAATTTCCTGTGATATTTCCACTATCGGCAGGCGGGCCTTCCGTCACTCTGCACCGCCCTCTGGAACTCCATCCCACAATCCCTCCATCTCACTCCCTCCCTCTCTATCTTCAAGACCCACCTCAAGACCCTCCTCTTCGACCGTGCTTTTGATCTCCCTGCTTCCCCCCCCCCACCCTCCCCTGTCCCCCACCCCGACCTTCAGCTCGGGTCCGAAACACTGTCTGTCCAACGCCTTGGGACGTCCTCCTGATATGAAAGGCACTATATAAATGTAATTTTGTTGTTGTTGATAGAAATTAATCACAATAACCCTTGAATTTGATATAACGCCGTATTACGCAGTCGAGATGTCTCAAAGCACTTCACAGAATATACTGTAAAGTGGGTTGAGTGTGTATTTTTTTATGTGGGTGAAACTCAGCAGTGAGTTCACGCACAGCAATGTACCCACAAACTGCCATGGAGTGAGTGACCAATTTTACTTCGGAGATTGTTGGCCAAGACACTAGGAGAAACTTCCATCTCTTTTCGCGTGGGATCTTTAACGTCCACCTGAACAGGCAGATGGGACCTCAAGTTTGATGTCTCACCCAAGGCACAGCACCAGCACTGCAATGAAGTGTCAGCTTAGATCATGTGATTCCAATTCCTGGCATTGGGCTTAAGCCCACAACCTACTGACTGAGACGCGAGAGTGCTACCAACTGAGCCAGGCTGACAAACAGCGCTGGGGAAGTGACTCGGAGCAGGGTATTTTATCCTGATGTTTCTTTTTCAGACTTACAAGGCTTGTCAAGCAGCTGGGAAGACTATCACTTGGTTACTAATTCCCGCCTGGCTTGCTCATTACTACCTGAAGTACCATATTGAGGTGAGTATCAAGACAGTGACTACAGAAGGAAACCTAAATAGACGAGAATTGGATGTGCTAAAATTTTACTTGCAATTTGGGGATCTATTCAATTTTTGACCTATTGCAACAATATGTTGGGAAGAATACAACTAACCACTCTTAATTTCCATTCCACAGGCTAAGCCATTCGGCACAGTGGCAGTAAAGCCCAGGATATTCCCAGTAAGTTGTCATTAACATATTGCTTTTTCAAAGAGCAGGCACAGAAATAATAAGCCGAAGGGCTTTCTTCTGCACTCTAAAATTCTATGGTTCTGCACAGTCACCACAGTGTTCATATATTGCCAAAGTAGTGGCTGTTGCGCTGTTTGTGAATTCACATACCACTGAACAGTTTCAAATTGCACATTGAAATGTGGCTTTTTCTCATAAAATAGCACAGTCTATCTAAGTTCTCAGTGCAGTATCTATGTTTAGCCCTTTGGAGACTATTTGGACCATTAAAACTATTGAAGTTTAAAACTTCCCATATGTCACTGTGGGTGCTCATATATTGCATCTTATGAAAACTAACTTTACCCGTTGCAGCTTCGTTTGCAACCAAAAGATCCAATGTGGAATGCAGATTGAAATACAGACAGACACACTTACTTATCCTTGAAAGGTTCGATTTTCACTTAGGCATCTTTATAATAATAATAATAAATGTATAATTTATAATCACTGGGACGTCCTCCTAGCATGAAAGGCGATTTTAAAATGTAATTTTGTTGTTGCCGCAGCTTAGCTTCATCTGTGTTCTATATTTTGTTCCCACCACTACATGTGTGCTCTGACACAGGATGCCACAGCTCCATGGTCAGCCGGCCCGGCCACCAGGTGCAACTGCACAATGCCACAGCTCCACTTGGACTCAACGGCCACCAGGTGTAATTGCAGCAAAAAACGCAAAACTGAAATACATTTTAGGTCATACCTCACGAACGATAGGAAATACCCGAAAACAAACATGCCCACGTCACTCCCAAGTGCAAGACCTTTTTGATGAGGTATAAATCGTGTCTCTACATCAATCAATTATTGAGATCCTCCTTGAAGCGCAGACAGACAGGCATTGTCGTTTTATTAGTACAGAAGATAGAAAACGAACAAACTGATGGTGGATCTTACTTCTATAGGATTCCATGAAACAAACATGATTCATGGGATCCTATAGAATCATGAATAATTGTCACATCTGATGCAGACTAGTTGGTCTTAAAAGAAGCTTATATAAACTTTCAGTGGTTCAAATATAATCTTTTGCTCTTCTTTGGAGATGATATTCTCTTCGTCAGCACCCCCACGCCTCAGGCACTGACAGCATCACCATCCATGGTTGCACACTCCACCTTACTAAGCCAGTCCGCAACCTTGGCATCTTGTTTGACCCTCAACTATTCTTTCTACCCCACATCCCTGCAATGTCCCGCTCTGCCTTCCCTGCCTCCCAGCTCCACCACTGTCTCACAACGCAGGCTGCCTAGACCCTCATACACACATTCATAACATCCAGGTTCAACTATGCAAACTCCCTGCTTGTCGGCCTCCCCAACTCGTCTCTCCATAGGCTGCAGATCATCCATCACACAGAGCATACAGTTGAAGATCCTGGTCCACACCTTCAAAGCCCTCCATGGTCTTGCTCCCCCTACCTCTGCGACCTCCAATCTACCCACTCCCTCAGCGAGCTCCGGCCTGCTTCATGTCTCCTGCCTCGCTCACCCCACCATTGGCGGACAAACCTTCAACCACTCTGCCCCCACCGACTGGAACTCCATCCCACAGTCCCTCCACCTCACTTGCCTCCTTCAAGACCTGTCTCAGCACCCTCCTCTTCGACCGTGCCTTCGATCACCCTCTTTTCCCCCCACCCCCCCAACCTTCCCGATCCTGCCCCCAGCTCGAGTCCGAACCACTGATTGTCCAGTGCCTTGGGACGTCGTCCTGACGTGAAAGGTGCTAAACAACTGTAATTTTGTTGTTGTTGTTAATACCCATGGATATTGTTTTCTTAATACTGTGGAATTTAGAGTATTTTATTCCATTTGAGACCCTTTGTTCCCTTTGCTGTGCAAACATGGATAGGGAACAACAATAACACAAGGATTTATATACACAGGATAATGTTTTGAGGTGCTTCACAGTGACGGGCTTGGGGTTGGATGCTGAGCAAGAGAGCTTGGGGAGATGGTAGAGGCCATAAGCGTGGTCGAAAAATGAGGTTTTGAAACAGGACTTGAAGAGCTGGGTGTGGGGAGTGGTGGGGGGAAGTGAGAGGAGGGAAAGAGGGAGGGAGATCCAGAGGTTATGGGTGTAGAAAGCTCTGCCAATTAATAGGGGTTCCGATGATTGGGACGGGAATGTGTAGCAAGCCCACGTTTGGCAAGCAGAGAAATGGGGGAGGAGGAAATCAGAGAGATAGGGAGGTACCTGGGGATGAAGGGACACTAGTTCTGATGTGACAGTACCGATGGTGAAGGATTTATTATTATTAATAATCTTTGCATTTGATATAGCGTCTTATCAAGTTATTGTCTCAAAAGTGCTTCACAGAATATTAAGTGGATTGACTGTGTATTTTGTGAATGAAATGTGGTAGTAGCAGCATATATTTACCCATTTATTAAAGGACTTGCCCCAGCTTTCATTTCCTTTGATTCATTGCTCCAGGGTGACACCATCATGGAGACAGGAGAGGTTGTTCCAGCAATGCGAAAGGAAGCACATCAGGAACATCATTGATCAGAGGAAAAAGGCAGCAGCATTGAACTAAATGTCCGGCGGAAACTGCTGAAAAATTAACCTTGTAGAAAAATACATTTTATTTATCATTAAAACACGGATTTACTGGAATACAAAAGATTAATGTATTCTCATTTATACACTTCACAGACCAACATTGACTGGTTGGATTCTCTCCTTCATCATCCATGCCCACCCCCCCACCCCAACTGTGTGCTGGATTCCTCGCCACACACTATAATGGCGTCCCAGTCTCAGCTGGATGGTGGTAAGATTTCCAGGTGCCTGGCCTGTGAGTGGAGACAAGACAGTGATGCCTTAAGAGCTGACCTCCCAAAGTGTCCAAAGGACTACAAAAAATTTCCACACGGAAAAGAACTATTAAAGAGAAAGTACCAATTTTCATAAGAGAGGCCATGAATTTTTACAAATAGTTTTTAAACAGTTTATAAAAAGGTATAGGCCAGTATCCAACCCCGATCTCTAGGTTGATTACACAAGGTTTCCAGTCTGAGTTTGTGCTAAAACTACAAGTTGATTAATTGGGACTTTTTTAAGAATGATCAAATTATACGGAATGCATTGGTATCTTGACAAAATGTGATCAGAAAATTGATCAAAATGTATGAATTTAGATTACCATTTCTTCCTTTTAGGGTATTTCTAAAATGTTAGGTATTCAGAAAAAACCTTGACAGATCGAATTATGTCAAACTTTTGAGCTTGTGTATACAAAATGACTCTTCATTTACATGTTAATTGTATACTTTAATTTGTTGGTAACAAAACAGAAGAAATAAGGAATTAAAGATTAACAGTAATTATATCAAAGAATGTATATTTAACAACAACATCAGTTTGCATTTATATAGACTTGTCACATCGGGAGGACGTCCCGTTGGTTTGGAATTAAGAGAGGGGTGGAGAGCAAGGGGGGTGGGAGTGGGAAGATGACTGAAAACACAGTCAATGAATCAGGTCTTGAGATGCATCTAGAAGGAGGCAAGGGAGGGTGCAAGGCAGAGGGACTCCGGAATGGAGTTCCAGAGGGTGGGGCCAGAAAGACTAAAGGCCTGACCCTTGGGAATGTGGAGCAGGCCAGTGCTCACTGAGCAGAGGGAACCTTTAAATCCCCCAACTTAATATGGCTCATTCACTCCAAGGCTGTTTGTGGGATATTGCTGTGTGCAAATTGTCCCTATTTTCACCAGATGTAGACATTCTTTCGAGAAGGATTTGTTGTCAGTCTTCAAGCACTTGATACATTCCACGAAAGTACTGAATATTAACTTGGTATGAAGATTTTTTAAAATCCTGTGATCATTCTGCTGTTTCCGATTGCTGTGCAGATGTTTTCTTTGTTTCTCCCAATCCAAAGATAAAACACGCGATATTTAGTGTGTGTGTATCTCGCCATTTCTCAAGATTTGTCAATCTGTTAGAGAATGTTAATTGTCATTCAAAATCCTAGTCTGTACTGATGTGGGAACCTTCAGATTTTCCAGATACCACAAAGATGCGAGTCTGCATGCGTAAACGACAAAGCCCCAGGAGAGGAGGACAATGGCCAGTAATATCTGTTCAGGAAACAAAGACACATCAAGGTAAATGATAGAACCAGTGAATAACTTCATCAAAGCCTGCTAACTGTACCTATAGTGTTACCCCTACTTTAATAATTGCAAATAGGCTGTCTTTTTTAATTATTACATTTTATCATACAGTGTGCCATGTGCGACATTACACCTGTGTGGATCATTAATCAGACTATTTATGGGTAGCACATTGCCATTTCACTTCTGGCTTGAATCCAGACCTGACTGAAAAGTCTTCTCTGTCTGTCTCCTAACTAAAATAAAATTGTGTAACAATCTTTGTAGTTGCGGATCCACTGCTAAGAACTCCTTGACTGAAACTCTGCGGCTATTCTTCACTAACTTTGTTTCACTTACAGCCCAGCTCCCTGATGAAGTCATGGCTCATCATCGGCACCAACTATTCGGAGGCTGGAAACAAACTGAGCAGCTGATCACAGGGCCAATCAGCAAAGCACCCAAACTCACCTCTGGCTTCCAGACAGGTAGCATTGCTGGGGACGCCTACTGCATTCAACTGCTAAGTAATTTATCTCTCAATCCAGGCTGCAGACTACATCACTCTGTCCAGTCAAGGAGTGTTAAACAGCTCACTGCGCGGCCTGTTATAGTAAGTACAATTTGCTAAGTACAGCCATAAAAAGACCTTTTAACTCAATTGCTGTCCAATGTCAGAAGGTATGATCATCAGCTAAACATTTTAAGCAACAATAACAGGAAAGAAAGAACTTTCATTTTTATATTGTTTGAGTGCTTTGCAATTACTGTATTTAATAATAATGCTTGATATAATATTTGATATAATAATCCTTTTGCATTTGATATAGCGCTTTTCATGTCTTCTCGACGTCTCAGAGCGCTTCACAGAATAGACTGCAAAGTGAATTGACCGTATATTTGTGGGCGAAACGCGGCAGCCAATTGCGCGCAGCAGACATAGCGCCTTATCACGCCTTCGAGACGTCTCAAAGCTCTTCGCAGAATATATTGTAAAGTGGATTGAGCGCATATCGTGTAGGCAAATATGTTAACGATTTCACACAGCGCGATCCCACCACAGCGACGTCTGTCAGGACATCAGAAGAAACCCTCTACTCTTTTTTCCAATAGTCAGGCCATCTTTAACGTCCGCCAAAGGAAGTGGTCTCACCTCCTCCCGCAAAATGAGGTGCTCCCCCCCCTCCCTCCCCCCCCCAGCACCGCAGTCCCGCCTGCCTGCCTGCACAGGGGGAAGGTTAAAGATAATGTGTCGCTCCCGGGGTCCCTGGAGAACGACCCCCCCAACCCCCAAAAATTGGGTCACTCAGTCCACGGCTGTTTGTGGGACACGGCTGTGCGCACACTGTGCGGTAGGTTTTCCCGCAGGTGTGGCGGCGGCTGTGCTGCACGTGACTCCCGCTGCCTCCCCTCTGCCGCCCACTCACCAGACTGTACACGCGGTCCAGCGCGCGTCTGCTCACGTACATTATGTCGGTTCCATTCACTATGGCAACCGGACAGGACCGGCGGCACAACGGTCAGGGCGGCGGTCTTCCAGTATCCCGGCGGTCTTTGCGTGCCAGGCTTTCCCGTCCATTTCCAAGGCAACATAGAGGGGCGGGGCGAGCCGGGGAGGGGAGGGGCCATGGACCGGAACTGCATCACTAAATTACGCCTTCCTGTATCCCAGAGGCTGCCGGGATTGCTGCAGCTGCTTGGCGGGCTGGTCCTCCAGTATCCCGGAGGGCAGTGCGGCGCCGTCACCCACCGTGCCTGTGTGATGGTGTAAACAGCCTCACAGCGGCGCAGGCAGGGGCCGGCCTCAGGCTCAGGCCTCAGCCTCAGGCCTGTCACAGGGGCGTGTGGACACTGAGTCAGGCAGTCACGTAGTTCACCAGCCGGGACGAGGCTGCAGTTGGCCGGAGCGGCGGCAACTCTCTCTGGAGCGTGTGATGCGTGAAGTTGGCGGCCGAGCAGGTGCCGGAGTGAGCGGCCCCGGAGGCTGCAGGTGAGAGGCCCAGAGCCCAGGCAGAGGGCGGGGTCGGGTTGCAAACTCCGCTACAGCCACAGCTACAACATCAGCATTTTTTGTTGGTCAGTCCGGTGTCTGCCACGTGCCGACACCCGTCACCATCCTGAACAGTACCCAACCCGAGCTGAGGTTTCCATGTGTCCCACCTACACATGGGAATCCCAGAGAGAGATTGTTGGAATGGGATGTGCGCTCTCTCCCTGGAGGGACACATCCTGTTTACCTAATTCCAGATAGTATTAGGCGCAGGTTGGCAAGAGCCAAGGCTTGGGGACCCGGAGTGTGCGTTGGGTACTGCTGGAGTCTAACCGGCTAAAGCCATTGCTTGCCATTGATATCGCTGTCCGGCAAATTACAGCTTCAGTACAACCATAGATGAGCCTTCAGTCACTGACTCAAACACACCCTGACAAGCTGATGAGCTCAGCGCAGTCAGCAGCGCTCTCACTTCTGAGTCGGAGGGATACCCCCCAGGTCGGGACTTCGAATCACACAGTATAGGCTCAGTCCAACAACCACCACCACAAACAAGCAACAAATTGCATTTGAGCTGGGGGTTGGATTCAAGAGGGGTGGACAGCAAGGTGGGTTGAGGAGAGCGGATGACTGAAGGCACAATCAAATCATGGTCACGGTCTTGAGATGAGCCTTAAAGGAGGCAAGGGAGAGGGCAAGGTGAAGGGAATGTGGGATGGAGTTCCAGGTAGGCAGGATGTGTCACTTCAGGAGCCAGTCATCATATTATGTTGCGGTCAATGTTCTGATCCATGTGATATTAATCACGTAAGTGGCTAGAGCACCAAAATTGGAATTTGTGGCCTTCATGTGCTGGTTAGTCGGATACTGGCTTTTTAGAAAAATCAAAAAGCAGATACCCAGCTAACCTACAATAAATGTAGGCCGAACAGTGGAAGGGTCAAAAGTCCAATGCTGTGATCTCGGCTTTTCTGACTTCAACGCTGAGAAAATCACATGAACTACATTATCTAACGATGAACCTGCCCAGGTTCTCAGCTCCAGGGACCAAGTATCACATAAACATTTAATAGATAAATGTGACTGAGCTCTTGAGTTGTACAACTACATCAATGCAGTAAATCGTGTGAAACACTTTGAGACTTTAACAAATTGATAAGGATTGTTATATTTATTTAGGTTCATTACATGTATCGATCAAATAGAGTCTCTTGGTCCTAACCTCTCATTTGGTGAATACTCACTTTTATGTATGGGTGCTGAGAGATGCGGTGTCCGGTCTCCACCATATCTAGGTTTTTTCACACCACCTTGCAATGACGTTCTGGCTGCAGCATTGAGTAGTTTAATTATACCTAAGAAAGGAAAAACCTACAGAGAAACTTAAAACTGTCTCCAAGACAAGTTTTCAGAGACACCCACAAGACTTGACCAGAAAGTGTGGCTTCTTTGTTGAGTGATTTACGACAAGCTGGAAACTGTGATCCCCAGTCTCTTCACTTTAATATTGATAATGCTGGGAAGAGTTCAAAATACTGGAGTAAACGTCTTGAAAAAAAATCTTGAGATGAAGAAAAGTTCTCAATGTAAAAGGAAATTCCCTTAAAACAATTATTTTTTTCCCTTCCCTCCCGCTCCCTCCCTTCCCTCCCCTGCTCGGGTCCCGACCCAACTGTCCAGTGCCTTGGGATGTCCTCCAGACATGAAAGGCGCTCTATAAATGCAACCTTGTTGTTGTATTTTGTATCTACAGCAAGGATAATGTAGTCTTTCAAGGTCTGAACAACAATCCTCTCCATGAAGAGAGTGTTGCTTCAGACTGGCAGTCTTGTACACTGTGTGGCAATGTAAAAAGGTTGCATTTAATCTGAAGGTTACATTTTACACTGACATAACTTCCTATATGCTGCGTGCTATAAGCACCTTTTGTGTCACTTCCCATATGCTTGTGAACTGCAGAGGAAGAACTATTAATGCCATCTCCAATGCACTGTTGCCTTGCAACTCGCCAGAAGCCAGTGCCAGATGTTGCCGTACTTAACATAACCTGACTACGCTATGAAAAGATTTGGGCTAAATGGACCTTGTGTTATATTGGGGCGCGTAATACTTGCATCCTTCATCTTGATGAACACACAATTAGAAGAGGGGAAAGTTGGTTCAGATGCACCTGCATTATTATGGTGTTTGTAATGGATCTGTAATGTCCTGAGCTTTTAGTGTAACAGGTAGTGCAGATGGATCACATAACACCGGAGGCAGCAACAACAACAACGTGCATTTATATTGTGCCTTTCATACGAGGTAGGAGCCAAGGAGAGGGAGGTGACCATAGGCGCGGTCAAAGAGGAAGGTCTTCTGGTGTGCGCTGAAGAAGGGCAAGGCAGCGGGAATAAGGGAGGAAGTCCTGGAGTTTTGGGGTATAGTGACTGATGATGGAGCAGGGTGGGGTGGGTGCACATTCATGATCCCAGGACAGGGATCCAAAGACAGCAGGGCTTGAAAAATATTGTCAGCTAGTCATGGCCAACTGGAAGTTAAGCAGCAAGAGGCAACATCTCCTTTGCTGCTTCCAAGGCCGTTGTGACCAGGAGCGCAGAGGAAATTACCCTTTGAGTCAATTGCTGGTGCCTTTGGTAGGTACATCGTCCTTCACTTCATAGGACAAATGCAGCTTCAGAGAAACTGAACTTTCTGTGGCCTATAGAAAATCCGAGCTCAGGATCCCAAGGGATTTTAAGGGATATCAAGAAAAGGTAGGAAAATGGATTAGGGAGTTGCCATAAACTTAATGGCAGGGCAGACCTGATACATGGGATGGCATACTACTACTCCTGTTCAAAGTCACCACTAAGCAGCGGTTAGAATCACAGCACTAGCAACACAGGCCATTCGGTCCAGATAGTCAGTGCCAATGTTAATACTCCACCTGAGCCTTCACCAATTCTAATGCCCTTTTCCCTTCTCTCTCATCACTACATTGATTTCTCTTAAATACATTGATGGTTTTTAAATAGTTTATGGTGCACTAAATTACTGAAGTGATATACGTACAACAACAACAACAACAACAAGATTCCATTTATAAAGCGCCTTTCACGTCAGGAGGACGTCCCAAGGCGCTGAACGTAGTTAATTCCTGCATTTGATATAGGACCTTATGATGTCAAAACGTCTCAAAGTGTTTCACAGGATTTATTGTATAGTGTAATTTATAGGCAAACCCAGCAACAGATTTGTACAAGCAATGTTCCACAAACAGCCATAAGGTAATTACCCATTTTATTTATAAACGGATTTATTGGCCAGGATACTGGGAGAAATTTCCTTACCTTTTTGAATAGTGTCATGGGATCTTTAACGTCCACCTGAACAGGTAGTCGTGACCTTGGTTTAACATCTCAAAGTACCTACAACAATGCAATATACCCCCTTTGCTACATTGGAATGTCAACCTGGATTATGAGTTCAAAGTCCCAATGTGGGACTTGAGCCCACAACCTTCTGCCTCAGAGGCGAGAGTGCTACCAACTGAGCCAAGTTGATACCTGTGGTAGAATGGGCAGGTTTAGGAACGCCTCTTTCCAGATTCCCTTATTTAAATATTTCACCCAAAGTACAGATTGGCTTTCGTGCACTTCACTTGGACAAAGTGACCTTGCCAATTTTCATCTGGGCCCGAGATCTCTTACCAATGTCTTCTCTCTGTGAGAATTTGCTGCTTGAGTTTCTCAGAGGAATGTACAGTATTCAGAAACCAAATTGAAATCAGAATCTTGAAGCTTGATGGGTGGAGAGGTACCAAAAAGACCCTGAAACTAGCCACAACATTGTTCTATCAGGGTCAGTTTAGAAACTTCCTCAGGCTGCTCAGAGGCTGTTTATCCTCTGCTGGCTTGACAAGGTGCCCAGGTGGGCTGTGAGTTTAAGAGAGTTTAAAACCGTGTCCTCTCCTGTGTCAGAAAAGGTATCAAGTGCTGCATTTTAAACTTGATTTAAAATATTTTGTAACGCACCATAAATTACATATTTCTTTTTACAGAATTATATCGTGGATTGTGAATTTTGCAAACTGAATACAAGGTACAGTATTTTTTTGTTCTATGATGTTGTTGGTGTGAATTCAGTCTGAGAACCGCGGTTGTATTACAGTGCTTCAGAATTTTTCAAATTCAAATCCTATTTCCTGAAGGGCCGTGATGACTTCATATTTTGGCTCATTGTTCCTAATACCATACTCAATAACATTGCCGGGTGCTTTATTTCTGTTCAAAATTTGGGCTTCTCTGTCCTTGGGTAGGGAGGGTGGGCTGGGGAAGGAAGAAAATATGAAAAGCTTTACTGTGTGTAAGCTGAATAAGTATCCGAGTCATAAGTGTAGAGCTTTCATTCTGCTTCTGTTGTGTGATCGGACAAAAAAGGTGAAGAATATCAGAGGAATATCAGCCACCTGTATATGACCAGAACTACAGTGGAAGCCGCTTTAGCCGGACCCAGGTTAACCCTGGACGCGAGGTAAATCTGACAAAACGGTTGTCCCTAATGTGTCCAGCTTAAACGGCTTCCACTGTTATATAGTCTATGTCGCTGAAGTGAATCTAGACACCAGGTTTGTGCGATGAGAACATTCACGAACAGTGACACATCTTTGACATGTTCAGATATCCAACGATGTGAGTTCAAGAGTAGTCATCCTCATGACCTCTGCCCTCTTGCTCCGTACTGTATGCAAGTGAGATTTGTGAACCCAATGGCAAAGCTTTTTTTTTNGCCTTTGCTGGATGGAGTAGGTTGCTCCTGAGTAGTTTATCCTTTTAAAGAGTAAAAAAATGGTGTTGAGTCTGTTTTTAAAACTCAAAAGATTGCTGGAAAGAAGTTGAATACAAACATTGATGGTCTTTCATACATATTCTCACACAGACTCTGCATTGTGGAGGTTAGTGTCCCTCATATAAAGAGAAGGGAGTTTCTCCCGGTGGCCTGGCCAACAATCCCCCAAATAAAATTTGTCATTCACTCCATGACAATTTGTGGGACATTGCTAAGCTCAAATCGCCTGCCACTTTCGCCCACGAATGGCACAGTCACTGCAGTTAAATCCTACAAAGAGCTTTGGGAAATCCTTCTGACGCGAAACGAGCTATACCGAATGTAAGAACTATTATTATTTTATTATACAAGAGGTGTGCAAATGGTAAAATCATTGCATATATTGCTCAATGAGGTTTTGCATTGCTGTATGAATGCATGCATGCTGGGACAGAACAAGGACAGCAGCAAAACAGCCATAACTGGTTCAAGAGAAGTCTGAAGATGATAGGAGGCCTTGCTTTTGACCCTGGCATTTTCTCCCATTTGCTCGCTGCTGTCATGCTTTCTAGGACTGTATTTGCTATATACATTGCTGGCGTCCGTGACTGTCACAAGATTACATAATTTGTGACGAGAGCTCTGAATGACCATTTTATTTGGGGAAAAGGTAGATGGGATCTCAGTTTAACGTTTCATCAGAATAATGACCACTCCGCTGTAGTGGAGGGTACTCTCGACTATATCAGCTTAATCCCACAACCTCTGACTTGGGGGTAACAGTGCTATCAACTGAGCCAGTCTGACACTCGGTTACTGACAGAAGTCAAGGAGAATCTTGGTCTTGTCAACATTGAGTTGTAGAAAGTTAGCATTTCCAAGACTTGGTATCTGATAGTCAGTTGGATAGAACAGCAGTGGTCCTGGAGTCGAGGGTAGAGGCATAGAGATAGAGTTGAGTGGACCCTTGCCTCTGCAACTTGTTACCAAGGGGGAGCATATATAATACAAATTGACATTTATATAGCACCTTTCACATCGGGAGGAAATCCCAAGGCAGATAACAATCCTGGCTTGGCACCTGATCTGGGAGTGGGAGCCAAGGGTAGATTGAAGGGGAAAGATGACTGAAAGTGCAGTCCGAGAGGTAGATCTTTAGTCAGACTTTGAATGAAGTGAGGGAGGTGTGTGTGTGTGTATGTATGTGTGAGTATATGTGTGGTCCGTATAAGAGGAGATGCCTGAGGCATAGAGTCCTGAGGAACACGTGTTGACTTCGGGGGCGGGGGGGGGGGGGGGGCTGAGATGGGTAAAGGTCAAGCCAGAAAGGACAGGCATGGAAGGAGAAAATGAGGAGAAATGGTGGAGAAGGATACAGTAGTGGATGCTATCGAAGGCAACAGAGAGATTGAAGCGGCAAAGGAAGCTTTGGTGGCAGGAGGAGAGAACATCATTGATCAGAGCAGTCTCGGTGCTGTGGGCAGATTGAAGGGGCTTGTAGAACGAATATTCGGAGAGGATCGAGTGAAGTGGGGAGGTGACGACTTGTTCCAGCTCATTGGAGAAGAAGCACAGGTAAAGTGTTCTCAGGAATTCCCCTTGGAGAAAATCCCAGTATGGTAACATTAACCACCAAATGCTTATCGAAATGAGCAGCACAGTGCGACTTTTGTTGTTGTTATAAAGCTTTGTATCTAAATTTATATTCCTTTGCAGCAAATGTTGAGATTTCTGCAAAAATCTTTTAATTTTTTTCTGTTGGTGGAGCACTATCACATTCCAATCACAGGTGTCAGCTTAGCTCAGTTGGTATCACTCTAACCTATGAGTTTCAAGGTTGAGGGTTCAAACCACAAATTGGGATTTGGAATTCATATAGTCTATACTGACACTCCAATCCAATGCTTGGGGTGTACTGCTATTGGAGGTGTCATCCTTCAGATGAGACGTTAAACTGTGGTACTTTCTGCCAGGTTGATGTTAAAGATCCCATGGCACTTCTCAAAAAGAAAAGGGAGTTTCTCCCGGTGTCCTGGCCAAAAGTACCCCAAATAAAATTGGTCACTTACTTCATGGCTGCTTGTAGGACATTGCTGTGCGGCAATTAGCTACTGAGTTCAGACAACCACACCACTTTTCAGTACATCTTGCGAAGAGCTTTGTGATGTCTCAATGACATGATAAGGTGCTATATCAAATGCAAGGATCATTATTCCTGACGATGAGTGGTGGTTGCTGACCTCCGCTCAATGTGGTACTTGAAAGGATTTGCAGACAGCAGGCGTTTAGCTGCATGTAGCTATGTGAGTAACTGGTGGGGAAATGGGGCTCAGAAGAACCAAATGTAAACAAAGTCCTTTGAGGAACCGCAATCTCCTACACATCGGAAAGTATTGAACGGTACCCTTGCATTGCTTCCTCAATCTTTCTACTGCCTCTGATACCATCCACCACTCCATCCTTCATCATCTCCCCCTGCTCCACATGAGATTACTGAAAGTAAATCTGTCTGTGTATTCCAAACTGTACAGTAAGTGAGAGCATCAATGTGAAATATTGGTGCTGTTAATGTCATTATAGTGTTAGGCATGTGTACATGTTCAGCTGATCTCTTTAATTTACTTTTTTAGACATAGTTCAACCATTCTAAGCTTGTTATGATGCACACTCCGTTTTCATATATCTGATAATGCAGCTATTTATCAGTATCAGTGCAGTTTGAGTACAACGGGGGGACTGCTGGGTACTTTGATAACTCATATTAAAGCCAAATTAAATCTTATTCCTGATCTTATACACGTGGACACTACAGGCAACCTTAGGAAAGCTTCCTTACTCCACACATCTGTTTACCTAGGAGTAAGTAACAACCCGGGTGTTGGTCAATTGGCGGATCGCTTCTCAGGGGTAATAATTCCTCAAAAAAAATTGGTCACTCAATTCACAACTGTTTGTGGCCCACTGCTGAGCGCAATCGGCTGCTGCGTTTTGCTAACAAAACACACAGTCAATTCACTTTACAATAAATTCAGTGAAGCGCTTTGAGATGTCTCGAAGATGTGATAAGGCGCAATATCAAATGCAAGAATTATTATTATCTCAACGACATGATAAGGCGTTATATCAAATGCAAAGATTATTAAGGTACATGTGCAAGCTATGATTTTTCTTCCTTGGTTACAAATCTCTGTAAATCCAGAATGCCATCTGCAGTGTCAAAAATCCACTTTAGGTATAGCTGAGGCTGGCAACCCCCTAATATTGGCTTGGTTTCTGTCAGTATTTTGTTGTTCACATTTATGATGGGATTTTCCTCTGAAGGTGTGGAATGCAGTAACATTGTGTAATATTTCCCCACCCACAGTAGTGGTTGAGAATTTGGAAGTTGTTAAGAGAATCATGCAAGTCTGTAAGTGAAAACTGTAGGTTTGAATGGGGGAAAATTGAGCTATTAGTTTGATTTGTAAAGTTTGTGCTCTTTAAGATGGTCTCATTTCATGCACAGGTGTCCGTATTTGAGAAATACAGTTCAGCCCTTCAGGGTGTTAGTCAGCTGATGCTGTGCATTCATATTGCAGGGTGAGTCAGCCATTTTTGCAGGACTCTGCATACATTAACGCCTCAAGCAAAAGGGAAATTTGAAACGGGTAGTGTGGTCCTAGCTGGATAAGCAGCGGGAAAGCTTACCAGATGCAATATCAATAGCAAGCTATGTGGTTTTAGTTGGTTGGACTCCAGCAGTACCCCAACGATCACTCTGGGGTCCACAAGTCCTCCCGAGGTGAAAGGCGCTTTACAAATGTAATTTTATATTGTATTGCATCCGAGTGTAGGTGGGATGCATGCAATTCTCAGTTTGGTTTGGATCCTTTTGAGCATGGCGATGGGGTTTCGCGCATATCAGACACCCGGCTGATCAAAAATAGGCTATTATGAAATAGGAGTTGTGATTTTTACACCAGTTTTATAGTAGATCCATATTTTGTATCTGAATCATACACATTGAGGCATTTGCTTGTGCTTTTCAGATAATGGCGTCTGCTGCGGAGGATTTGACGATGGATAGCCAATTTTCACCGAAAGCAGGAACGAGCAAAATTCCACAGGGTGTGCAGGCAGACGCATCACCGGATGCAAAATGTCCCATCTGTCTGGACAGATTTGAGAACATGTCCTATATTGATCGCTGCTTTCACAAATTCTGCTTCCGCTGTATTCAGGAATGGTCCCGCAACAAAGCGGAATGCCCCCTGTGCAAGCAGCCCTTCAGTTCCATCTTCCACAGCGTCCGAACAGAAAGTGATTTTCAGGAATATGTACTTAAGGCAACAGAGAATGGTTCCTTTGGCAGTCCTGATGGGCAGAGGTTTAGATACAGGACAACACTGACCCGGGATCGGAGGATGACGTTTCAGTCTCGCAGGTCTCTGGTGACCTCATCGCTCCCTGATAACGGGGTCGTGTTTGAGGGACTTGGACGTCAATCTCGATCGCTCCAGGGACGCAGCTTACGGCGCATGATAGCGAGACTGGGAGCAAGGAGGAGAGCACAGTCCGAGGGCAGGTCAGTGAGGATCTTCCAAGAGCAGGAGATGGTCAACTTCAGACGGGAGCTGTACCGCTCGGGAGTGCGCGTCAGAAACGTGCAGGACGGTGGTCGCTACCGGGACATCTCGGCGGAGTTTTTCCGCCGGAATGCGGCCTGTCTTCACAGGCTGGTGCCCTGGCTAAAGCGCGAACTCTGCGTCTTGTTCGGCTCCCATGGTTCCGTGGTCAACATAGTGCAGCACATCATCATGTCTAACATAACCAGGTACGACCTGGAAAGCGAAGCTTTTCAAGAGGACCTGAGGCCCTTTTTGCTCAGCCGCACTGACCATTTCTTGCACGAGTTCATAAGCTTTGCCCGCGCCCCGTTTAACATGGAAGCATACGACCAGAGAGCTAATTATGACTGTCCAGCTCCCTCCTACGAGGAAGAAAGCGACTCCGATTTATCTGTCATAACTATATCGCCCGAGATGGAGAACATTCAGGAAGAAGATCGACCAGTCCCTAATCCTTCAGAGATGGCTCTAAGCCTAAGTCAGACGGCCTGGGATGACGAAACTCCTGGCCCCTCCTATTCAATTGCAGAAACAGTGGAGCAGGGGGATTCCTCTCCCGCCGAGACGACTGTATCTATAGAAACTCCCCCACAGGCTGGCCCATCCTCACAGAGCATATTGATAAAGACTGACCCGGGCTCGAATGAAGAAAGCGCTAACCGTTCGGGTGACGACTGCTTGATAATGGGTTATGTGAAGCCTCTTGCTGAAAGGACACCCGAGTTGATTGAGCTAAGCTCAGATACTGAGGCTTCAGTTCCTGACACTGACAACAAGGTAGTCAAGCATCCTGTGCATTTACGGTTCCATAGCAGCCAGAGTAGCAGCAGCAACAGCAGCAACAAGATCAGCGGATTTTCCTCTTCCTCCACTCCCTCCTCTCCCTCCGCTAGATCTTCTGAGTCCAAAGAACAATGGAAAAGGAAAAAAAACAAGAGGAGAAAGCACGGTCGATCAAAAAGGGAGGAGCACCGAGGTCACAAGAAAAGCTGTCACTCTGGGGACAGTACTTCCTCCTCATGCAGGGACAGGACAAGGATTTCGAGCCGGAGTAAAAGCACTTCCAAAGGTAGATCCGTGTTACGTTCGCATAGCAGAGACGGGCACGATTCCCAGAGGCACCAGCAGGCGAGGAGCAGAGATAGAGGTGCACTGACCCACCCTGAATCCAGCCGAGATGGACACAGGGACAAGGGTTGGAAAAGAAGGAGCAACCGAGATCGGTCTTCCTCACGGGACCACGCAGGATCGGGGAGTAGTGATAGTCGGACGCACTGGAACTGGGAGCAGCGGAGGAGAAGGTGGAAGGAGCGAGACAGGAAGTCCTCTGGGAGAAGTCTGAAACAGCCACGGCACAGCGACAGCCTGGTCTACAGGCCCAGGGATAGATCGCGGTCTCGGAACAGGGGCTATGCTATTGCAAGGGAAGAAAGGAGGTCCAGGAGTAGAGAGAGGATGTACAGTTACATGCGAGAGTACCAGGAGAGGAGCCGAGGTTATTCCTACCAGTGGGAAAAGTACAGCTACCACAGCAGAACCAATGATGGTCACGACTCTGTAACCAGGACCAGAGCTCACTATAGGAGAGGCTCTCCCAGTTCAGATTATAGGATTCAATCCAGCTCTGAGAGCACAAGCTTTAGAAGCCCAAGTAGCCACAGGGAAGATGTTTTCTACCATTACGGGAGTTATAGGTCAAGAAGCCCATCGTCTAGGTTTAGAGTCACTGGTAGAACTGAGAAAATGAGGCAAGAAAAACCTGGGGGGAAGAGAAAATATAAAACCCATTATTTAGAGAGTTCCTCTAATAAACGCAGTACTAACACAGCTTTGCAGGTTACTAATGTATCCGAGGGACATGCGATACCCAGAAATGAGAGCGCTTCTCCTGGGCGTCTCTCACAATGCAGCAGCAGTCGTAAAAGTAGTCATCGTGAGCCACATGCTGTGCCAGGCCACCAGGCCCCATTGAACAGGCTCAGAGAGAAGGACAAGAGGAGCTCGAGTGTGGAAATAGTGTACGAGGGAAAGGTCACGGAAGCCAGCAAACGGCACAAAAAGAGGAAGAAGCACAAAAAGAAACTGAAGAAGGACCAGAGCAGTGAGGAGTGCGCAGAACGGGCCCCCCGCTCCCCTATCATCATAACCATCGACAGCCACAGCGACAGCGACGCGGTGGTAGTATCTAGTGCGCAATACGACACCAGCGATTTGGGGCCAGCCGACACTACCCTCAGGCCGACTCAGTGTGAAACGTGTGAGGACAAAAGCACAGCAGAGCCAGAAGAGGACAAGGATTCCCTGAACACAGCTGTCCCAGCCTCCAGTCAGATAAGCAGTGAGTCTTTGGACATCTGCAGTTTGTCCACAGACTCTGACTTTGGTCCTGAAAATCCAAGTGCGCAGGTTTGCAGCGACCAAGAGGATGTGGAGCCAGCTTCAGATACTGATACCCATCGGAGTATGGGAGTGCAGGAGCAAGAGCACGAGTCCCATTCAAATAGAACACCTCTTCCCAAATCATCTCCAGACAGACCACCTTTGATACTAAAAATCCCAAAGAGGTTCCTAAACAGGACCAACTTGTTTCACCAATCTGCTGGAAACGCATGAGAACTGTTCAGTACAGAGGTGAATTTTTTGGGTTGAAATGGGAAAGCGACTCCTTTTCCAGGGGAGATTTATTAAGTTCATACAATAGCACTGAGAAAGGATTTACAAAGGTGCTGTCAGTCACCAAGCTAGTATCAAATGTAGAGAATTGTGTTTTTTTTTAAATAAATACAAAAATGCTTGTGAATGGTTGCTACCACTGTACAGATCATTCAGCTGTTCAGGTGCCTGTGTGACAAGATGTTACTGTATGTTTTTAAAAATATGTATATTGGAAAGTTTCTAAACTTGATTGTGTTAGGGACAGCTCTGAAAATGTTAACATGTTTTTTTCAGCTGTTTTTGTTATCATTTATTTTAACATAGCCAAAGTACATCATACAACCTTTGTTTTGCACTAGGCTATCTGTAATCATGTCCAAACTGATGGACATCACCACCATGAACCAATACAATGGTACCTAGGGTTGTGTAAAGAATTGAGGTTCAGAAATAATCGCCAACTGTATGGAATATTTCCTCTATTTGTGAAGCTTTACAGAAAAAGTTAACCATAGCTTGGTGGATTGCCCTGAGGCAATGACAGCAGATTGTACATTTACTCTCTGAGCTGGTAGGCACAAGAAACAAAAATTAGAATAAAGGCAATTTGAACTTGTTGAGGTCTTGATAGAAGTCCTTGCTGAGGAACAACTATAACAATCAACAGGTCTTGGCACCTCTTGCACCTCTGAAGAATGTCTGGCCCAAAGTTTTTGAGTAATTTTTATAAAGTAATTTTGATGATTTTTAATTTTGTGCTTCTAATCGTGAGGGAAGTTATTGCTGGGAAATGGAACCCTGTCGGATTTTGGACACCCTGTTTCAGTCTCAAGTCCTCCCAGATCAGATGTAGCAAAGCCAACTGCAGAGTAAAATTCCCTTTATTAAGACTTCAGCAATTGCCTTACTCAACCTCAGAAGAGCACCCCTATATGTACCATATTGACATTTCTGTCCCCCAGGCTACTCTTGATAAGGAGTGAGTTCAGACCGCCCACAGATCCTTACAGCAACCAAACCAATGAGAATTTTCCAATCTGTCTGGGTTAAACCGAAGAGTAGGTGCTTCTGATTGGTGAAAATTGGAAAAATTCGGAATAAAATCTCTCAACTAAAATCACGATTGGAAGACAGCTGGAGATTTCAACGTGCTGTGGATTTGTGGTTATGAACAAACACATTTTGTTGTCTCGAGTCCTGGTAATAGTGACAGGCTATATTTAGTGCCACCTTCATATTGGGGATAAACAGTTATGTTTCTCATTTTGTAAATATTTGGAAGAATGAGGTGAAATGTACCAAAATACCTACCCTTGCCATTTACCATTACAGCTGTTTCTTAAATGAATCAAGTCAATTGCAGCTGCTGATTTCCAGTCATTGATAATGTTTACTATCATTTGTGTAACAGGACGGAATAAGTCCATTTACATTTGGTGCAATCTACACACGGTGGCCAGAGGAAGTGCCTAGCCTTTCTCTTTGATTTTATTTCTTTTTCTTTATTTTCACTCTTTGTCCTACTTCCACTGTTCTTGGCAGGTCTTGATTAAAATCCTATTTATGATTTTTGTTTAAAAAAACAAAATCTAGTGTTTATATATATATATACATACACTGCCTTAATAACAGACGGATGAGCAAGTGTGAGCATGTTCCATTCTCTGGGTTATCAGTCAGGACCTCCCAGGAAGTAAGAATTCTGTGTTACTCCTCTGCAAGCTAGTTGCTGTACATAATATTTAACAGATTTTCAGTTATTAACATCTTTCACCTTGGTTAAAACTTTCAACTAAGGAGATAGGTTAAGGAAGACTTAAGTTTTTCTACTTATTTCCTATTTACCCAGGAAATGCATCCGTCACACATCAAGAGCAGTATTGTTTTGGAGCTGTATTTATTCAGTATTTAATAATAAAAAAAACATTTTTGTATTACATCAGAGGAGTTTGCAAGGGATGTTGGGGAAATATTTGGGTAAGTAGCAGGCAGAAAACCTCAGCATGCTGGTTTTAACACATGGTCAAAATCAATGATTTAATGCGCCAAATGACTGCCCTCTGCTGTAAATTTCTATGGTTCCATGTCAAAGGAGGAAGCTTTTGTATTTAATTCAGTGCTCTGTGTCATACAATTCTCATTTGAACAGACCACAGGAGTATTGAGTATATTTGAGTGCAAAGGCCTTAAACTCAATTTACAAAGTAAGCCTAGTTTGCACAGTAAAATATATCTCTATAAATGGGAGACTTCACTAGATGATTGTGTGAGTGTCTATTTCAGCTTCCATTGCACTGAATTGATTCAGCAGTAAATCCATTTACAGAACCCCCTGCATGTTCTAGCCACAGTATCACATGGAAGACACCTTTTTAAAAAAAGGGCAATATTAATGAAATAAAACATTTGGTAAAATACCCTGCTTTGTAGAATTCAATGAACTATATTTTGGTCTATAATTGGTGAAGGCATTTCTTCATGGAAAAAAATAAGTCAGCAATAATATATTTAACAAAAGTATACATGAAATTGAATAAAATACATAAAAACTGAACCGTTTTATGTCATTGTATTTAAATATGAGTGGGAACTTATTCAAGGGAGACTGACATAAAACTTGCGTGAAGGTGAGACTTTTATAAATTAAATGGTATACATAGGACACAACATAGGAGCAGGATTTTTAGCCATAGTTAAGATATTGGGGCATGTAGTTGGGTTGGAGCATACATGAGAGGCAATTATACTGAACACGAGCACTGATCTGTTACCACCTGAGATGATGGGAATGTTCTGGTGTATTACAATAAGCATGTCTTGGCGGGAGAGAGTACAGTGAAGATTATTAATAATAATCCTTGCATTTGATATAGCGCCTTATCACATCATCGAGACATCTCAAAGCGCTTCGCAGAATATACTGTAAAGTGAATTGACCATATTTTGTGGGCAAAACACTGCAACTATTTGTGCACAGCAGTGTCCCACAAAGAGTTGTGGATTGAATGACAAAATTATTTTTTGTGAAGAAATTATCACCCCCAGAAAAGCGATCTGCCAATCAACTAACACGTGCTGCTTAGGTAAACAGGCGTTTGGAGTAAGGAAACTTGACCAACCTTTCGCCCTGCTGGGAATCGAACCCAGGTCTCGCTTGCGAGGCAAGTGCTCCAACCACTGAGCTACTGGACTCCACAAATACCTATTAATCATTGTTATTTCAGTATTATTGCTACTAATTAAGTAAATAAGTAGCTGGTATTAAACACCTGAGTTACAAGGAGAAATAGTGGAAGTTGTGAATGGTAACACGTGACACCTCCCCACCCCACTGCCTTGGAGTGTCAGCCTAGACTGACTTCAATGTCCTGATGATTTCCTGACTTGAGGGTCTACCAACTGAACCAGGCTGATACACATCTGCGATCATATTGAAGTGTTTAAGAAAATAATCGTAATTTGAAATTGAGCCTTATCATTGCGCTTTTGAAGATCCCATTCTTTGGATGAGATGTTATGCTGAGGTCCTGTCTGCTTGCTCAGGTGCATGTTAAAGTTCCCTTGGCATTGTTTGAAAAGAAAATGGAATTTCTGCTGGTGTCTTGGCCAATAATCACCCAAATAAAATTGTTCATTCACTTCATGATTGTTTGTGGAACATTGCTGTGCACAAATCGGCTGCCATGTTCACCTACAACATACACAGTCACCTCACTTTACATTCTGTAAATGACAGTATATCCTGTCAGTTGGGCACTCTCTGGGTCAGAAGGTTGAGGGTTCAAGCCCCACATCGGGACTTTGAGGTCAGTCTAGGTTTGCAGTGCAGTGCTTGGGGGAGCAGTGGTTGTTGAAGGTGATGGCCTTCAAATGATACATTAAACTGAGGTTCTATTTGCTTGTTTAGACAGAGATTAAAGAGCTCATGTCACTATTCGAAAAGAAAAGGGAGTTTCTCTTGGTGTCCTGGCCAACAATCCCCCAAATAAAATTGGTCACGTCATGGCTGTTTGTGGAACAATGCTATGTGGAGTCCTGTAGCTCAGTGGTTAGAGCACTCCCTTTGCAAGCGAGAGACCTGAGTTCAATTCCCGGCAGAGGGCGAAACCTTGGGCAAGTTTCCTTACTCCACACACCTAATAATAATCCCTCCCCCAAAAAATAAAAATAATAAATTGGTCATTTTCAATCCATGACTGTTTGTGGGACACTACTGTGTGCAATTGGCTGCTGCGTTCGCCCACAAATATACACTCAATTCACTTTACAGTATATTCTGTGAAGCACTTTGGGACGTCTAGAAGACATGGAAAGCACTATATCAAATGCAAGGATTATTATTATTATTATGTGCTAATTAGACCCGCTTGAATGGCTCCAGTCTCCTGCATATCCCTCGTGCACTCAATTCTACCATTGTGAGGAGCGCTATATAATTTCAAGTAGTTGTTGAGTTCATCTACAAAATAGTCACTACACTTTGCGGTACAATCCTACAAGCATTTTAAAACATTTTGAAACGTTTTAACAATGTGGAAGGCGCTGCATCAAATGCAAGGATTATTATTTATTATTATTGAGGGGTGTATAATTTCTTTTTTACTTTAGGACTGGTTGGTTTGCATTCTTGTGTAAATGCAGATGATTAAAACAAAGCTGCTCTGATATTTGCACAAAATAAAACTGAAACAGTAACTTCAAGACAATCTTTTATTTCAACTAAATTTTGCTTTCCCGTGATTCTTTTAATTAGAGTCCACAATATTATAGGAAGATTAGTAGCTCAGTATTTCACAACAGGTGGAAGTTAATGACATTAAATAAATGCTATGTGACCAGCCAGAATTGCCATCTCCAACAATCAGAATTACAAACATCGCTTTTGTTTATTTCTGCATTGAATTTTTAGGAGGACGACAAAGATCTTATGACACATGAGTGTACCCTCCAGCCAAATTGCTCATCCACATCAGGGTTATTGGACATTGCTGTCTTTGTGTTCAATGCCACCATGGCCTCACCCATCCTACCTCTGCGGCCCTACTGCCACAATCCATCTCAAGATCAGCAAAAATTGTCTTGCTTCATATCCCCAGCTTACCATCCAGTGCCTTGTGATAAGACACTTTTATCAAATGGAAGGATTATTATTTAATATTGCTTTGCCAATACAGGTTCCATGTGTTTTGAAAATGCACATCACGACTTTACCCCGTTTGAAGGGTGCTATATAACTGCAAGTTATTGTTGTTGTAAAAGCTACTGACAAATGCAATCTACAACTGTAAAAAGTGAGCATTTCTTTTCCATCAAAGGCAAGAAAACCTAACCCTTTTTTACTTAAACATCTCAAAGCTCTTGAAAATATAGCAGCACACATCGAGCTAGGAAATGTTAGCTCGGATGTTAATCAAAGCACCATTGATGAGAGATGTTTTTAGGTTTATGAAGGTAAGGAGAGAGATAGCAAGGCAAAACAGTTTTGTAAGAGAGGTTCAAAGGACTGGGATGTGGTGGCTGTAGGCCTACAATAGAAGAGTGTGGCTGACTGAAATATAGGGTTTTAGTGCATTGTGTAAATGGGGCAGAGTAGAACATGGAGGGAATGGATAAGGCGCCATATCAAATGCAAGGATTCTTATTACTATTATTATCACATCATTGTGACGTCTCAAAGCGCTTCACAGAATATACGGTAAAGTGAATTAACTATATTTTATGTGGGCGAAATGTGACAGCTAATCGCCCTCAGCAGTGCCCCACAAACAGTTGTGAATTGAGTGACCAGTTTTGAGGGATTATTACTCCCGGAAAGCAATGTCCCACAAATAGTCACGGATTGAGTGACCAAATTATTTTTTTGGAAAGCATTATTGCCACCAGAAAGCGACCTGCCAATCGACTAATATTTCACCCACAAAATATAAAGTCAATTCACTTTCCAGTTTATTCTGTGAAGCGTTTTGAGACATCTCGGAGATGTGATAAGGTGCTATATGAAATGCAAGGATTATTATGATTATTATAACAATGGATTCCTACTTATTGCTAGGTAAACAAACAGATGCGTGTGGAGTAAGGAAACTTGTTTAAGGTTTCACCCTGCCCGGGAATCGAACTCGGGTCCTCTTGCTTGCGAGGCGAGTGCCCTAACCAAATGCTACAGGACTCCACTAAAGACTCTCTCTGACCAGTCAACAAATGTAACTGGTCAACAAATGTAACCAATTTGATCTGCTTTTCTCCTTCTGTCTGCACTGCACTGATTTCAGGCCTCTGGCCGTATTAAGGCAGATTTTCTTCCTGGTTTATTGGCAATAGTCCTCCAACTTCAATGTTCCGGTTGCCCTGACCATATTGTTGTATTATTACACTATGCCTGGTGGTATTTTTACTGAAAGCTCATCTACTAGGCTGCACAATACTGTTATACCATTGCACTGTATCACTATGTGCTTCTACCTTGTTATTTAACAAAAGTTTTGAAATGAAATCCTTTCTCTTTTCAAAAGAGAACCTCAGACAATCTGACCCATTACTCAGTCTTCACAAAGGTTACAGTTCGAAAACACAAGTAAACAGT